GTGTTGCCTAGTCCTCGCAGTCCGTTGACTACTTGGCATGCTTTAGCGCAGAGGTCTCTCACATGAATTCCAAAAGTGAGTCTTCTGTCGAAGTGGACCCCCAGCCATCGTAGAGAGGAGCCTTGGTTAACAGCTTGAACTCCCAGTTCCGGTCGTAGAGATGGTCAAGCCCGGCTGGGGTCTCATCAATATCCTTTTCAAGCTGTTTCTTATTCCTCCCTTTCCGCAGGAAGTTCTCTTGCATTTTCAGCCACTGGAACTGACCGTTATACCGATCAGCCATTTTCTGGGAGATGCTGAGCCTCGTCGGCTCATCTTTGTTGGGCAGCTTATTGTTGACGATACTTCTCGAGTAGGATATGTTGTCGGTGTGAACATCTTCGGGTGATATGGTATACTCGCTGAATCCCGGGTACTGTGTAAGCCCCTGCCGGATTTCAGGCTCACTGCGGCTGACAACTAAAATCCGAGCAGTGGTGTCGGTGACCGCTTGTCGGAGCTCGCCGAGAAAGCGGACCATGGAGGTGCCACTGTTTCGGGTCTCCTCCACGCAAGTGCATTCGTCCAGCCCGTCCAAGACGAAGGTACAAGAGGGAACAGCTTGCAAAACCTCACGGAAGAGCTTGATGATGGTCGCTCGTGTTGTACCCTGTTCGTGTTGGGCTAATCGACTCTTGTGGACCACCTCTAGAGCTGCCTGGCTCTGCAATAGTACCTGAGCAATCCACGACCTTATTGCCATGAATGGATCGTCGCGGCCCTCGAACGTGGACGACAAGAAGAAATGTGCAACAGGTGTTTGGAGACTTGACGAGAGGACTTCAACCAGTTTAGCACAAAGGACAGTTTTGCCGAATCCCGCAGGACCGTTGATCCACAACATCTGGGAGGTAAATGCCGGTGTGTTAGGCGAAAGCCAGTCGCGGATGATTTTCCGGGTTAGTATCCATTCGCACGTGCCGTCTAGCCGCCTTTGGATAGCATCATCGTACAGATCGTTCGGGGAGGGGCAACCGAGCCATGTACGCAGGTCTCGTTTTGTCTCAGCTGAAGCTGTTAACAAAAGAGCGGGGTGTACCGCAAAGTTACCCTTACCTCTCATCTCCTCTTCTGCTTTGAGCAGAAACGCCCGAATCTCAGCAACCCAAGGACCCTCGACCGGAGAAATATCTGAACATCATCGTTAGATTGGCGCGGCAGCTAGTGGTTTTGGGGCATTGTCCGAACCGTGTAGGTGTGTAGGGCCATTGCGCGCTCCACATCCTAGACGTGTACCAGTTGCGTCGTCAGGAGAAACAACGCTATGCAGATACTGTACCAGGGTCGCAAACGTCTGTACGTGCTCTGTGCGCTTTGCCTTCCCGTGCAGCGCCCAAGCCACCCGCCGCAACTTTGAATCTGTCGGCGCGCTCTGACGAGGCCGGGCTAGCCGGGTAGAGACCAGCTTATTTTTCGGGAATTCGCCGTCTGCTAGGGCAGGCCGTTGGTCGATGGTGTCGTCTGCACCGCTACCGAAACCTTGAATGCTGACCAACAATTTGTGAACTATCGACAACTTTTGCGCATCATCGAGAGCGGGGTGGTGGGTATCGGACAACTTCCCGTCTTTGATGCCGACAGCCTGGCCCCATTGTTCGAGTCGGTGCTTGTCGGCGTCGAACTGCGCGGCGAGGGAACGAGAATCGCGGCCGTAGTTTTTGTAGGAGGCAACCCTTTGGACAGCTTCCAAGCAAGTGCTGAAGAGGCCAGCAAGACCCGCGACGCCAACCGCCAGCCCCACTGGTTCCATGGCGACTTGGGTGAGGTGTTAGAGATCGGGTTGGGTGGCATGCGGGGATGGGTGCCTCTTCATAATCAGAGATTCCTGGCGCAGCCTGTCATCCGAAGCACAGCCACACAAGCCGACGGACGTTTCCCTCCATGCCACGTCACTGGATTGTCTCGAGGTCAGCCCGCCGAAATGCCTTGGATAGCGGTGCCCAAAAAGATAGCTTGACCTGTTTGTGTCACATAACGTCATGCGTCTCGCTGATTGCGCTGAGTAGCGGACTTCCTGTGACGCCGAGGACTTGGCCGCCATTCGTAGCCTCATCGACGTTGAGGTCTGGACGGAAGTCAGTCACATTATTTAGGTGGCAACAGCTCTCTAGACTTACACGCTACGCAGTTTTTGCTTAGTTCTTCTTGGTGGTGTTTACTCCATTCGGTGGAGCCCACCAAGCCGTATTCCTCATTGTCCCAATTTGCCAGTATTCTATGCCACGATTAGCCGTTGGGTTCAGAAGGAATGGTGAGGCCTTATTCTGCTCTTCGACAACTTACATCTTGCGATACGGCTTCCAACCTCTCTGACAGAGCTCTCCCAAAGCACGGGCGACCTCATTCATAGCGGCTGTTCCACTGACGGGGTCGATGGCACCACAACACCAGGAATCGTGATGATTTCCCAGAACAATACGTTCGTCTGTCATACCTCGAATGGTGCCTATGACATTATAGATCGGAGCGTATTTGTAAGTTCCTACCGCACATCGAAGTCAGTATTGGCCATTCTTTCGTCTCGAATAATTTTGCATTGGAATCGACAGAAGCATCATGAAGAGTAGGATGAGACGAAAATTCACATCGACCGGGAAACAGTGTAAAATCCATTTATCTTAGATGTGGAAGGACCCTTACCATGGTTGGCTATGGATACTCGCACTTTGCTTGGCCCCGTGCAGTAGTCGACATCAGCAAGACACCCTTTCCAATCACTCCCTTCGCCGCCCATGGAAACAGGACTCAGACCGTTCCCATTCAAGGCCTTCAAGAATGGAATAGCATCGGCATAGGATATTGGCAGAGATGGTATTCTCGGGGTTGCGTATCCAGGATCTTGACGTTCGACATCAGTGCCAGGCAGACTAGGGTACCTAGGGGTCGTGGGGTCTCCAACAGCTATCGAGAAGAAGTCGACGCTTCCTCTCTGAATAGATTTTGGGTGTCTAGCTGCTTACAGATGTCAATGTGACTCCTTGTTCAATGGACAACATAGGCCGGACGCCATTGTTCTTCGCATCCAAAGAGGGGCATACAGTGGTAGTCAAATGCCTGTTGAAACGGGACCCTTCGGCCTTAGATTGGACGGATCACTACGGCTCAGCCCCTGTTTCTGTCGCGGCTAGAAGAGGTCACGCCGAGGTTGTGAAGTCCCTCTTGGCTACAAATAGTGTCAACATTCACTCTCCGGATCATTTTGGCCGGACGCCCTTATGGTGGGCTAAAAGACGCGGCCATACTGAGATCTCGCATCTTCTACTCGAAAGCGGAAAGAAGCGAGGCATATTACTAGACGACGATCAGATGATACCAGAAGTCAGCACAAAACCTCATGATCCGTCAGCCCGATCTTGTGATATCTGCACTTTTAGCATTTCGGAGGATTCCACTTATTTTCGTTGTTCAGTTTGTAATTGCGGGGATTTCGATATTTGCCAAGACTGCTTTGACTGTGGCGCCCGTTGTCTCGAGGAATCGCATGTACTAGTTCCAAGGGGAAAGGCAGGGTGATATGCAGAGAGTTGTAGGTGCACCCACCGTGGAAAACTTGGTTTGAGCGCGCCTTTAGCGTCTCTTACGCCCTAAACATGTTCATCCAACACGACTTGGGGGCTAAGCGATCATTCTGGATCAGAATGATCCAGTTCGACCCAAGGTAAAAAGGAACATGTTCAGAATTAGACTTGTATATAGTATGACCTGAGCCAGGCTCATGGTCAGACTTCCATAGCTCTTCAGCAATCAACTTGTGAATATCATCTGATACTTTCAGCTTACCTTCACTGCGAATACTTGTTGAGTCTAAGACTGATCACCTTAGCCTCTGACTATCGATCTACGACATAGCTTACGACCTACGACCCAGACCACGACCCCAGTGTACTGTTACCACGTTTCAATCCACAGCTTCTGTTAGCAGACCCTACCGTCGACTTCCCTCCTACATACCAATCCACCAGCACCCACTGTTAGTGCTGCGCTGGGTCCGCCATATCAACACTAACACTGCTAAACCCATCCCACACAACTAGAACCCTCGCCCGCGATGGCCTCGCAGCCAGCCGCGGGCCCCTCGCAGGCCCCTAGGGGCCTCTCATCCTCTATGCATAGACTCCCCCGGACCCCTCCTCCCCCTAGCTCCCTACCTCCACGACCGAGGGGCCTCACGCCCCCCCCTATCCGGCCCTTGGGAAGGGGGCCACGATCGGCCACTGCCGCCCTACAACAGGCTCGAGAGGGTCGGGCCCTCCGAGATGAGGCCCGGGACCTCCTCGCTAGAGGCCTAGATGCCCTCATTGGGACGGCCCCAGCACGACTGAAGGCTACAGCCCAGGACCTCATCGATACCTTTACCCAGTTTGCAACT